TAGTTTTTTAAACATCATTTGAGGGTATCATGTCCAAGTCGGAGACAGTACTAATGCTAGGTAAACTACTGTCACTCCAATCAGGATATGGACAGTCCCGTAATGGACTAGGTACATTAACAGGTTTCCTATTTTGCATATCGCCTTGCTTCTTTATGTCAGAAACTGTTGATTTTGTAATGCTTTCAAGAACTTTTGATGCATTCAGAAACAAATTTTTGGTGTAATCATTTTGTTTTTCCTTAAGCGTTGTATACTTTCTCACTTTATGGATGTCATTTTCTTTATTGTCATCCTTCTTTGAAGATTGATGCAAGGATTTTTTCGTGATTACATCGTTCGCGTTCATATTTTGGCAAACTGTATTATTTTCATCATTATTTTGCTTTGCTGATTTTTTATCATTCTTAACTGTTAATAATAAACATTAATATAAATTAAAAATTGCATTAAGGTGATTCAATTAACAGTAATTGTTTAGTAAACTCAAAAGAGACTTACCTTCATTTTGATCCGGCACTATAGTATGTGATGATTCTCCATCAAGTAAACTAACGAGTTCAAAATCTTTAACGGGCACATCTTCTTTTAAAATATTTTCTTTAGGAACGGAATCTTCTGAAGAAATGTCTGATAAATCATTCCAGGATTTATTAAAGCCATTAGAAAAACTTGAGGTAGGAGACGAACATGCATGCCCTGTATGAATTAACGATATGTAAGGACTTGTATTTCCTTCTTTCATATATATCTCATATAGGGTTTTTAAATGTTTTTCAATCTGATTTTGTAGCTCTCTGTAATGTAAATTAATTGTTACGTAATTTGTACAATTTATAATTATGCGTCCACTGCGCGCGCGCAATAAATTTTTTAAAATATAAACATATTAATAGTAGAATATATAATATACTCACTGTATTGTATTTCTATAATCAATAATTTGTGTATCTCTATTAGAACATAACGCTGAAAGTTTATGTATTTCCATTGTTAAACATTTGTTATCAATGTCATTTTTTCGTATAAGTTCTGTTTGCTTATTTAGATTCGTTTTTAAATCTGTAATTGTTCTTTCATTGTTTTCAATTTGTTGCATTAGCCTTGATATTGTATCATTCTTTTTATAAGTTGCTTCTTCCAATTGTTGTGTAAGCATCTCTACTTGAAATGTCAACTCTGCGTATTTTTGATCAACTTCCTTTAGTCGTTCATCTCGCTCTCGAATTTCACTGATGTAAAATAAAAGAATTGAAAAATTAGTATTAACTTCTATTTTTCTTATTACATTTATATATTGCATCAAACCTTTTTAATCTTTCTCGTTCTAATATGAACGATTCATACGACATAGTTTTTATCTTTTTACCAGATTCCTTTAGTGGAACTGCACTGAATTCTACTTTGGTTTCTAGATCCTGCAAAAATAACAATGTGATAAATTCAAAGCTGACATAAAAGTGACAGAACAATTTAATAGATGTATATAATAAAATAAATTGCTTCAAAATATAAATTACAGATAAACATAATACTTAGATAATATGCAATTTCACACAATTTACCGGTATCTTCTGCAATATTTGTTCCATTTCAGTAAAGATTTCACAGATTCTTTTATCCTTTTTATTAACTAACTCTTTTAACTGTCTTATTAAATGTAACATGTGTACTGGATTAAAATCAGCAAGTTTGTTGAAATCATATTCAGAACATTGTACAGCACAATCCTGAACTAGAATTGATGAACAGCAAGATGGTGAATGTTTTTCATCTAACTTCATCTAGAAAGATATTTTTTATATGAAATTATATATTTAACAATATATTCAATATAAGGATTATTATAAACAAGATGCACATATAATCATATACAGGGTCGGCATTTAAAGTGGCACAAGCTGTGGCTGTTATCTCTAAAGTATGCTGAATCAAAAATATGTTCAGACAAAAATTGTATACTTTCAAGGAGGAAAAATGATAAAATAAATTAAAAAAAAAAAGATTTTTCAATATTATGAAGATCATCTTCATTTGTTTTAAATAGAAGGATTTGATTTTATTTATATATAATTCCCCTAACTATTCTGCATACACAAATATTAAAGTAAAAATATAAAAAAATTAATAGTTTACGAGATATATTATACTTTATTCTAATATGTTATTTTAATATAAAATATAAAATCTCTCTCCTAAACTTTTAATTTTGTTTTATAAACACCTTAGTATCTTTATACAGAATAAGCATGAGGTGAATCAACTGATGTAAAAGAAACACATAGTTGCTCTTCAAAAATGATAATTACATAGCTTGTAACATTTCAAAAGGTCCTACTCTATACATGTATTAAAGTTTATGTATGAGACTTACAGGAGAATGTTTGATAGTACTTTTTGGTTTTTTAACATTTATATTCTTTTCTGCTTCTTTCCCACTATATTTAGAAGACTGTTGTTTTGTTACGTGTAACAAATTCTGACTAAAAATATTGCTCCAATTTGATGGAGTTTTACTATCAGTTGTAGATCTTATTTTCTCAGCTTTCTGTCCATAGCTACAACTTGCTACAGGCGAAGTACGTTTCTGACCTTTATTCTTTTTTTTTACTGTGACTTCTACAATGTGATCTTGACCAAACATTATAACTTCATTGGAAGGGCTCATCATGACACGCTTTTTATAAAAAAATGATAATTTATTCAGACATAATAGAAAAATTATCTATATGGGAATGCATTATAGAAAAAATTGTGAAACCTTTTGTTCTGCATCATGAGCTTTGAAGGTTCGTTGATTTCCTAAACTTTTAGTCTTGACAGGAGCAGTCTTATACATTTTACTCATTTTGGTACTTATTAAAGTTACATCGACTACTAAATATTGTTGCACATCTTTTTTACGAATACAGTTGTATATATATTCATAAAATTCATAAAAACAAACAGAGAAAAGTAAATATTACAATGAACATAATAGAAGATTTATATATTGATAAATAATCAGAATGTATATTGTAATCTAAAAATATGGTACTTTACAGTATAGATCGTAGTATTTACTTAGTACTTGTTAGAAGAAGCGTAGAGAAACTATTAATTATCTGATATAGTTTTATAAGACAAATATATTATCAGCCAAAAAATCCTTAGAATGCAAGACATTAGATTCCATGCGACATCAAACTTCGCAGAATGTTATTAACTGCTTTTTTCCTTTCCTCTAGAGTGCGTTGGGGTGCGTTAGTTCCAAAATGCTTCTAGGGAACTTTCTAGCAAGAACACAGCTTGTATTCCAAAATTCACTGCCAGCGCTTTAAGCGGGAAGCACAGACTCTTGCATAACACATAATATTGTATATAAAGCATAAGAAATTCAACCAATCAGAGTTCTTTATTTCATAGAAAGGAAGGAAACGAAGGACTTTAATTGGTTTATTTTCTTATGCATTACATGTTATGCATTATGCAAGAATCTGTGCTCCCCGCGACGAAATGAAGCCATGACCAATCACGAACGTTCCACCACTACTATTGCGCTAATTCCATACTACGGAACTGCATCCTCAGGGTGCCTACCCTGCAGCGAAATAGCGTAATCCGGCACAGCAGCGCGATGTTCATCCAATGAGTGTACAGCTTTATCAATATTCTCATTCACAAGGTACTGTCATTGGATGTCGCGTATCACGCGCGACTAACATCGCGCTGGTGTGCCGGAGCCACAACGCAGAACGAGAGCAGAACCAATCACGAGTGTTCCACACCAATTGTAATTTTGTTGTTCATTTACATGTTAAACATGTTAAGCTGTCAAAAATATGTTAAGCTGTCAAAAACTGAGTCGAAAAGTTCTCTAGTTCTCTATGATTTTGCAATTTCCGCAATATTTTTTTTTTTTTTTTAATACCCAATGAGCAAAATATCTAAAATCAATGTTCTTTCTTAAAGAATTCTTAAAGATATCTTAAAGTTATCTTATATGTTGTGATTTTAGATATTTTACTATTGAATTGAATCTCAATGGAATATGTTTAATAGCTATGATGAGATGTCGCAACGACTGTACAAACAATTACAATGATCACATCTATCAAAACACTGACAAAGAATTGAATATTCTCCGTGAATATCCTAGCTTGACTTTTTAGCTTATAGATTTTCACGAATGTCATCTATCATTCTTGTGACATAGCCCAGCCAATAGACGAGTCTGTCGGAGAGTGGGTTTAATCCATAGCGTATTGTTATGAAAACTTTTCGTACATTTTCACGATAATGCATTTATTATAGACTTTAATACCTAAAAAATGTAATAAAAATCCATAAAGCAATTGTTTTTTATTTAGTGCAATTCGTGAAACTTAAGGAAAAGAAAACTTATCTGAAATGCCATAAGATTAGCCTCCTGGAGGCTGAATAGTATTAACGCTTTCTCGCACTTCACTCCAAGATCTGTATATCATATTGTCATGTTTTTTTCCATGGAGCTATGGAATAAAAATACTAAAAGTTATTTAAAACTTCCGAAAATTCAGATTATTTCGTCTTTATATTAAATTTAGTTATACAGACGGTGATAGATATGCTGAAATTGTACGAGTATTAAGGCATACGTATTCAGAGCACGTTCTCCATCTCTAGATATTCATGTGTACACCCAAGAATTTCGATTCTTTCCCTCAAGTTATCAAGCTCATATATGTAACACTACTATATTGCTAACGGTAATTAAAGAACTGCCGAAAATATCACAGTGCAGACGATGCTCCCACAATTCGTGTACTTTCGCAATGCACATGCGCGTGTTCCCAAACTATTTTATCATATTTTATCACGTTTATTGTGTCTGATCGTGTTCAATAGTGAGTTTATTATTTGACTTATATAAAAGTACTATACAAAAAGTAAAGTACAATTATATATTTTAGACTTGGTACTTCTTTTAATTATATTTCATAATATCTAATCTCTACAATAGATGCCATGAGCAATGATGCGAATTCCGGGCCGCTTGCAGCACGGTTATTAACATGAAGAGAGCATAGACGGACACGCATGCGCAAATATACATGGATATGGACTCATTGTAGAGTATATACCTTTTTATGCCCTCTTCATGCTAATAACTGTACTGCAAGCGGCCCGGAATTCACATCATTGGCCATGAGTCCGCGTGCATACGTTCCCCGCAAAGTAATGAATGGAAGCGAGAAGTCGATTTTCTGTCTCACTATCTTGGCAAACCCCCCACTCTCAAAAAGAGGATGCATTAGCAGTATATATATATAGAGGTAGTCAGGTCCCCATCATTCACAGAAGAAGAAGAAGAAGAAGATCACCGGACCTGTTGTGGAATCAACGACACAATCTAGTAGTAAGGTAACTTCATGGGTGCGTTCTTTTAACACTGCGCAGCCGTTTCGGATCTATATGATTGTAAAATCTATTTTCGTTGACTAAATTCTCAATTACTGGTAAAATATCCACATCAATTATAGTATCCAGTATAGTATTTGATTTTTATAGTATAATATATTATAGTACAGGGTCTGGCAAAATGATCTCCCACATTTTGCACCGCCACTGATTAAAATGTGGGAGATCATTTTGCCGGACCCTGTATATGACTTTTTTCCTTTTTAATTTTATAGTATATGACCAATTATATTATAGTATAGTATTTGACTTTTTTATGATTTTTTTTCAATTTTAAATCTCGCACGTTTTGAAAATATATGAGTACAGAATTCCGTTCTTTTAAATCAGCTGCGCAGCCGGCAGATCCGATGTACAGCGGCTGTTAAATTTGATGCTTGAAAGAACACATCTCATTTTCTAACCTACGTGGACGCATCACGTGGTCTTAACAACAAGTTGTCTGAAACCGCCATAGCGTCATCTCATTGCGCTACCGCGTGACGCATCAACGTTACATACGCGATCAATGCGCGAATGAGGATACGTTTCAAAACTCGACTCTGTCAATTTTAAAGAATCCAGAATAGTGGGGGAAAGAAATATTACGATAGCAAATCCATGCCCATGAATCATGCATTTCAAGTAAAAACTTAATTATTTTCATTATGCATTTAAATGGATGAAAAATGTCGAACTAATCATAAACCAAAAAGAAGGTGGCCAGACTCTGATTAGAGTCACTAATCCTCTACTCGTCCTGCTCCTGGATCCCATCTATTCACTGAACTATATATACACTGGAATGGGCATAATATACAATAATTCAGTGTATCTATCCTAGTGGCAGAAATCGCCTAGTCATCGTCGCGAGATTCTAAAGCCCTAATTGGTTCCAGGTGGCGCGTATAGAAGCCAGAAACTTGAGCAAGATTCTAGAGACTTTTGAAACTAAATCAGACGAGATCCATATTCCAAGGTCTCCCAACCTTGGAATCATTCAAATAAGAAGAAGATATAATCCACTTTAAGAAGATATTAATTAAACATTACATTATGTATAAAAGGTATTACAATTGTCAATATTAAGTAAGATTTATTCTTTTTTTGATGAATGAAAATAAGTTTGTACCAGTATTATTTGTGGCGATGTAATAGCGAATTTTCATGACAATAAGCCAATTGTTTTTTTAAAAACTATTTTAGTATAATTTTTCACAAAGCTATGACTATTTCAAGTTTTACGTTTACTCAAGAATTTTGAAAATTACAGAAAATATCAATATCTCGATTTTAAAAAAGAAAATAAAAAAATTTTTTTCTCCTGAAATCAAAGTACAAAGTATATACTATAATATCCTGCAGGCAATTTTTTTTTAACAATTCGATACCGATTTATAGCTGATTTTATGAAAAAAATAAAAAATTGTAACATATTGTTCATCCATTGTCGAATTATTAAAAATTGTTGTAGAATAACACAAAACCAATTCTATTAAAAAACTGAAGCTTTTCAATGCTTTTAAATTGACTGTTATTATTATGTACTATTTCTTAAAGAAGGATCTCATAATATATAATGTTTTTTATCATGTACTTTGATCACAGGGACCAGGACGGTTTTATACAAAAAAGAAGAGGAAGCTTTTTATCAGAAGAACTTATAAAGGAGTTTAAGGAAAACAATCACTCTTCGGATAAATCCAAGAAGCCATCGCATTACAATTTTTCTAATTTTCCTGTAAAGTATACTAGGAAATCTTCGTTATACGATCTTCGATCATACATAATATTATTAGGTGTTGGAATTAATTCGTAGCGTTTTTAATGAAAGAATGTTATTTATTTCACATGAGCATTAAAAAATACATTAATGAAAGTACTTCCCATCACTTGTAAAACGCTACGAATTAATTCCAACACCTAATATATTTACTATTATTCTGTTTAATAAATTTTATATTTTCTTTTGCAGCAAGAAATAATAATGATTATATTAAGAAAGTTAGATTTAAGATCATTATGCCGCATGAGTGGAGTGAATAAACGTTTTAATAATTTAGCACAGAACCATCTGCTTTATACAAGTGTAAACTTGGAACCATATTATTGGATTATGAACATACAAGCATTTCATTATTTAGCACCAAGATGTAAATATTTACGACGGTTGAATTTTTCAAACTGTGTTTGGATTTCTGACCATGTTGGAACATTTCTTGTTTCTTATGGTAGTCTCTTAACACACTTGAAATTGGCTCACTTAAGTATTGACAACAATACCATACTTACAATTTCGGAAATATGCAAAAGTTTAAAAGGTATATATCTAGATATATATATATATATATATATATATATCATTATAAGCATGAATAAATTGTATGATCAATACATATATTTTTTTTAGAATTACATCTGTTTAATTGTTACTCGATAACTGACGTTGGATTCTCATATCTCGAAAACCTGAAGTTCCTGGAGTATTTGAATGTTGGCAAGACACATATAACTACCAAAACTCTTTGTAAGATACTGCGAAGAAATATACGGATGCGTCACTTACTTATACTGGGTACATATGACAATCTTCTGAATGCAGATGAAGTTGTAATAGAATTGAGAAATTCCTGTCCAGATTTAGAAAGTATAAAGCTAGGATTTATGATCACTCCTATAGCGAATAATTTTACATCGAAAGGTATTAATGCCTTTGCTGACTGCAAAAATCTACGAGGCGTGCATTTGGATTGGTGGTACGTATTATGTCACACTTTCTTTGAAAATACATATAATTTCTGTTACGCTTTTTACAAAATACGTATTCTTCATTTGTTTAGGGGATGATAAATTAAACCTGAGATCTTACTAATTAGCCTATTGTTCTTATAAGGATCTATGCATCGTCCTAGTTTTTTAAAAACAAACAAATTATCATATTCATAAAAATTTATATATTTCGTTTGAAATATATTTATCTTAAAATAGCTGTGTTGTCCTGTTTACGATTGAAGAGCCATAACAATATTATTTTTTTTTTAGTTACACTTCTGGTGATAGCTTCTTCAGAGTGTTTTCCTCCTGTCAACATCTAGAAAGAGTCTTCCTGAGCTATATTAAAGGCTTGACTGAACGTGATTTAAGAGCACTGACATTGTGTAAAAATTTAAAAGTGTTACATTTGACGTGCATATCCATGTCACCTGAGATATGTAGCGCAATTTTCATGAATTGTCATAAATTGGAGACAGTTCATTTCAACCGTTGTAATATTGCTGATTATTTGATTGTGCAGTGGCAGCAAAAATATACACGTATAACCATTAGAGCAGAAAAATGGCCGAGGCCAGTAGAATCCTATATTAAGACTCTAATCACATCTTTGACTTAAGATTCAATCACCTGCAAAGTGTCATGGAGGAAAGAGATTTCTTCTAATCTCTATTTAAAATTGTTCATGAGATTTATTTTATTAAATAAATAGTATGAGTCAATAAATACTGTATCAATAGTATTAGGAACCACCGCGTATATCCAACAAAAATAGGGAAAAAATTTTTAAATCTTTTTCTTCGTTTTAAATCTGAAAGAATACATCAATAGCAGGGAGCGCTCAGGTACAGTGCTCACATGTTTATCACGCTTGACTTTTTGCATGATTTCATCGGACTTTTCAATGATTGGTCGACCGGTTTACATCGAAATTTCCACTACGAAAACGAGCGAATCAATTCCATGCTGATTTTGATAGAGTATCTTCACCGTAAATAGCACAAATTTTTTTACAAGTCTGTGCAGCGTTCTTGCCTTTATCATAGTAATACTGCAAAATGTAGCGATTTTTTCCTTATTTATTTCCATTTTCAAGATAAAATAACTTTTGATCCCCTTCACCGGTTTCAATCTTTTTCGGCTCAAAACAAAGGTTGGAATGTCACTTTTTAAACGCACGTCTAGTATTGTCGATGCGAGCATTTAATGGGAAAAACGCTACGAAACTTTTTCCTACACCTAATATCATTCCACCATGATCGGACTATCGGACCCGTATATGTAATACTATTATATTGCTAACGGCAATTAAGAACTGCCGAAAGCATCGGTGCAGATGATCACAAGCATCGTGTGCCGCAATCGTTAATTAAAATATTTTTAGAGTATAATATTTGTATCATACAACATTTATATAATTTTACATTTTCTTATTTTTGTATTTTTTTTATTTTGCAATGCATTATAATTATAAATCTATTTCTTTTAATTTTATTAGAATCTATTATTTTTAATTTTAGATTTTTTTTATTTGATATTCATACAAACGACTTAGAGAAAGAAAGCGAAAAAATAAAAAGCAATTGAGAAAGAAATTCAGATGGCGTTTTACTACTAGAGAACTTACTTATTTTATATTAGACAACTTACTTATTTTGCGCACTCCATTTTGACCGACACTAACACGGTAACAAAATACCGACAGAGAGTTGCGCTACTGTATATACTATGACAGTACATTATAGACATTATTTTGTCTATGTGACAGATTTTCTAACCTCAATAATCGTCAATTTTAATGCCTAATATTTCGCGGGGCAGAGCGACAAATTTTTCTGCCTGATTCTTTCATGCAAAAACGTGTCGAAGAAGCTTAATTTCATTGATCTTTGAAGTGTGATAACTAATCTGAATAATTACCGCAGCGTGTTGCGCATGAAAAGGCACCTTAAGAGTCTATGCTGCGGCCATTTCTACCAAACTTGGAGCTTGGGCCTCGGGTGCTCGGGATCACTCGGGGCAGTGTAGGCAACTGTTGCCAACCGAATTTAGTATTTCATGTAAATCACACGTAATCGTCATTCATTAGTGTGTCGCGTGTGTAGCGGGTCTGAGTCTGAGCAGAGATAACTAGCGTACGTTAATCAACGTTAAACCGGAGCTGTTTCACGGAAGCTGTAGAATTGCGTATCGTTCATCCTGCGCACGATAATCGATATCGAGGGCGTATCAGTGATATGCGATCGTAAGGTTTGACTCAAGGGATAATATTCAAGTTACGTCTACGCACGTCTACGGCGCGTGGCTCCTGGCTTGTTCTTGTAAACATAGTGTTTGGACTCTTCGTGATAATTGTTTTTTTCCATAAGACCAATTAAGCTCCGCACGATCGCGGATAACGGGATCTTGTGGGTAACGTGAGGGATCGCGCAGCCGCTTTCTTAGAAGACCGGCGTGTATCATGTGATTCTCACTGGAATACAATAAGTATGGACACATTTCCGTTTCACGGTGAGTTTGTCACATACTGCCATTTGGATCGTTCATTGAGTTTCGTGTTTTCGGAATATCGCTTAAATCGGTAGGATGGCTTGGTAGAGGGGATATTGACCACTACGCTATTTGTTCTTTTTGTATTAGTCAAGTTTGCTCGCGTGCTGTCATAAGGTTTGTTTTTTATTTCTGCACTGGACTGTACTGAAACTTTTATCAAATCACTTTCGTCAAATATCATCAAATATATATCTGTTTATTTTAAGTTTCAAAAGTATACATTAGTTCAGCTATAAAAAACAGATTTTTGAACCGCTTACTTTTTATATATGAATTAAAGCTTACCATTAGTTAAATAAATTGTACATTAGATTTTAGCCTTATCCACTTGCAACTTACATTTCGTTTATAAGATCAATTGTGTTACTATATGGATTATCACGGGATTATTTGTACAAGATTATACTTATTAGGTTATGGCTGCTTTCATAATTATACAATACATGAGATTTATATTATTTTCATAATTATACAATACATGATATTTTCTTGTAAAACAGGAAACCGTATGATTTAGTAACAAAAGTTTGGAGTATCTTGGTATTTTACCATGGAGCAATCAGACTCGTCTGTCTTGACAGTTCACGAGATTCAAACGGATGACACACAAGTAGCTCAGATCACTGAACAAGATATAAAAGTCACTGCAGAATGTGATCAAGATTTTCCAAAGGTGTGCAAGCTACCGTCAGAATCTATATTGACAGTAGACAATACCGATATTCGTACAATAGTTAAGTCGGAAGATTACATAGAGACAAGCAACAGTGAGGTATCTAAAGAGGTAGCTAAAGAAATTGATGACACCAGTAATCAAGTGGAATCTGAATCAACGGAGCCAAACACGGAGATATATAAATCAGAACAAGAAGAGATCCAAATCTATAATTTAAAAGATAAGATAAATTCGAATCATGAATCACAACACTTGTCCAATGAGGAAGACCAAAGCCTAAATGTGATAACTGAATCTAAAATAATAAAAGAAGATGAAGGAGCAACGGAGGCAACAGAGGCAAAAGAGACAACAGAGACGAAGGAGGCAACGAATAGTCTAGAAAATGACTGTAATATAATAGAAGACGCGAATCAATCCGATTCCAGAGATAAGCAGGATGTATTACCAGATGAGTCTAGACTTAGTAAACATGGGGGCCAGAGTCATGACGTATGTGAGTCAGTTGAAGAAACAATCAAGGAAATGCATGATAACGATAATAATCAGAATAATTCGGCAACTAATGCTGAACTAACTAAATTAGTGCAAGAAGAAACAGAGGTAGTTGTAGTAGTAGAGACTGTACCAGTTGCGACTGATGCATCAGCGGATATTATCGTTACTTTAGAAGAGAAAGATGCTAATAAGGAATGCAACCAAGAAAATGTTACTTTGCAAGAAAAACAAATTGTGGAATCTGACCATGGGAATGATGAAATTGATCTAATTCATTATAGCCAAGAAAATGACGATACCATAATAGAAGTAACAGAAGTCATAGCTCCTCTTGACGAACAATTTAAACAAAGTAATATGGACTATATAGAAAGTAATAAATGTGATACGAAATCTATAAAACTAATTGATGGGAAAATTGCAATAGACGAAAGTGTAAATGATGAAAATATTAAAGTAAAAACAACTGATAATAAAACTTCAATTAATTCTGGAAAAGAAGATAAAGAAGATGTCACTATTATTATAGATGAGAAAATCATAATTACAGAAGTTGAGTCAGCAGTTGAGTCAACAACAGATCTATCACAAATTGAAAATACCCATAAAAATACTGTTAAGGAGATAATTGAGCATAAACAAGATGATACCTCTGTTAATAAAGTATCAGCAGTGGATTCATCGACGAAGAAAAGAAACTTTATCCAAGATATATTTGACGATTGGGGTGTTGAGAATACGGATGAAGATACGCAATCAAGTTCAAAGGTGCAAGACTCTGTCGAGATCGAATTAAAAAGCCTAATGGATGAGGCAAAGACGGACCAGACTGTTTCGAGTGAATCAGTTGTAACTTTCCAAGAAAAAGTCTCTTCTGCAGATAAAGAATATGATGAGACACATAATATTGTGAGTACAATTGAGAAGAGTACAACGAAGGAGCCAATTGAAGAAACAGAAAATCAAAAGAAAAACAAAGCTATTAATAAGGATGCAATGTCATTGAATAAAGATGAAACGAATTCTCCTATGCCACCTGTGAACAAATCTTCACGAAGTATGGATACGCATCCGGTTATCGCGTCGCCGCACGACACTACAGTTCCTAAAAGCCGCGCTCGGCATTTAACCAGTCAGATAGCGTCGCCAGCAGAAGTAACAGAGGTATTGAAGGAACGTTTTCGCGAAAAGCAGAAGAGCGTAGAGACATCCCGCGGACCAGACATATTCTTTGTAAAAAAATTGACGCAAAGGCTGTCTAGTAAATTGGGAGGTAGCACAGTAAATCCAATACCAAAACTTATACCATTGCCACAGCAAACCGCTTCTTCAAATCCACTTCCCTCTTCTGTTGTGTCATCAGCATCGGAAAACTGTGATAAAAAGGAAGCAGAAAATACAACAACGGAAGCTGGCAAAGATAGTAATTCTGACAACAAAGAACTATTGGCCATCTTAGAGGGTGACATTGATCCTGATTGGTCTATTTTGAAGCCACCAGTTCTCACAGAAGAAAGCAAAACAGCATCAAATACCATGGAGCACTCCGAACAAAGCAATCCACCAAAACTCGATCCGTTAGTTGAACGAGAATTGGCGCTGAAACAACTCCTTGAATTGCCCATATCACCGTCCAAGAAGATTCCACCGCGGAAAAAGAAAACATTCCGAGCAGCGTCTGGTAAAGCATCTAAGGATGCAACGACTGTCGCGAAAGGTTCGCTTGCTGCACAGCGAAAGGAGGCTAATATAGATTTAGCGAGTGAAAATACGCAACCAAATGCAAAATCTGTTGGTATTGATCTGAATCTTTTATCTCACGAAAAAAATCAAGAGCAGATAAGCATACGAATAGAAGAGTCGAGATCAGGCAGAAAACGTAAACCTACCGAAAAAGCAAGGGAGCACGAACAAAATACGATAAAACGGCAGAAAGTATATAGAGGTAAAGTTTCAATAAATAAGAAACAAATGGAAGAAAAGTCTGCCTCTAGTGATAGCTCGACGATTGAAAATCATGTTACGACAAGCGATACGACGAATGTTGCTGTAAATAATGAGAAAATTGTCACGAAAGAAGTAGCGGGTAAACAGTCTGAGAATAAAATAGATTCGGTTTCTAATAAAATTGAAGATTCTTCTTCAAAACGGTCGAAACCTGGTCTTGCTAAAAAAGGATCGATAGCTAAGAAGAAAATGGTAGTCAAGAAGTTGCTGCGCCAAAAAGTGCCAACTGATAAGAAATCTGTTCAGCTGAAAACTAAACTGACTCCGTCGCCGAAGAAGACACCTCCGAAAGCTGTCTCAAAATCGCTAAAGCGGACGCCCGAAGGTCCATCCAGTGACGTGAAACCTAAGAAGAAGAATATAAATGAGATAGATAGATTGTTGCAAGACGAAGGTGTTGTCAATTTACTGTACGATGTAGAGCAGCCGGATAGAAAACGCCTGGTTCCTATCACAAAGTCACGAGCGAAAGTAATGGACCTGCAGAAAGTGCAACGTGAACTTAAAATCAGAAAAAAATTGGTTCGCAACGCTGTGTTGCGATTACGTACGTCGACGACTGCAGATGTCACAAAAGTGTCACCGAGGTCGAAAAGAACGATGATTCATGATGTTCAAGATAAAAAGGTAGAACAGGTCTCGTCACCAAAAACTTCTGCATCACCCACGGAATTTATTCTTCCCGCAAAGATTCGAAATGCGGCTGATGCGTCCATTATCGTCAGGAGACATTCTTCTAGTTCATTTTCGAGTGCATCTGGAAGTCCCAGAGTTAGCGTTGATGCACCTGAAAAATCTACAGAAGCTGTCAAGTCGGAAGACGGAACAGTTCATTCGTTGAGATCTGCTAAAAAGAGACGAGATTCACAAGATGAGAAAATTAATAATACGAAGAAAAAGAAGAAAATTATACAAAAGTCTGATACCGATGTTACTGTTACTAATACCAGTACCATCTCTACTACAACTACTACAGTTGCCAGCAATACTATTGTTAATAATACGGAAGAAAAAGTTAATGTCGTACGTCCTGGTAAGAAATCGGAAATCAAGAAAATGGACAAGATCGGAAAGCAACAGGAAAACATTCCCGCAGTTGAAGACAATGTTTCGAGTAAAGTTACAACCCGATCATCGAATGGTGCAGTACCAGGGAAGGTAACAGCGAAGAGCAAAAAACTTATGAGAAGCAAAGTGACTTTTGCCAGGGCAAATGAGCTTGATAATGCTGAGGATTCTTTGAAAAATGAAGATGAATTATCTGCTTGTCTTGCTGAAGCAGCTACTGCTCTTTCAGTTGTCAATGCCAGAAATGGTGCGACTACGCGAAAGAGCAAAGGTAAAGGTAAACACTTCTATCTCAATAATATTTTTTTTTTGTAAAACTAAAAAATATAATAATTTATTTACTTTTCCATGTGAAAAAACATTAAAAATAATTTAAAAACAATTTGATATGAACTATGTGTTAAATATCATACAATATTTCAGTAAATACAAACATGAAAACATTGGATATAGATAGTAACAAAATGAAAACGGAAATGCAAAGTCAATTCAGTAATAAGGAAATAAATGTGCGACGACATGGTAATCTTGTACAATTGATACTTACGCCATCTTCTTCAACAAAAATAAGAAATGCTCTTTCATTACAAGTAAGTAGTCTCGCACTTAAGATAATCTCCAAATCCGTTATAAACTGCTAAACATAATTTCTTTAATGATATTAAGGTAATGCAAGAATTCAAAGAGGCTCTGTCGATATTAAAAAGAGATGACGAATGTAGGGTAGTACTCTTAACATCTACGGGTACAAGCTTTTGTGAAGGTCTTGATCTTTCAACATTATTGCATTCAAATAAGGATGAACGACGATCCGTCGCTCAAGAGTTGGCACATGCTGTCAAGTATGTATTTAAACTTGTGTAAACACAATTTAATATAATACTTTATATAGTTGATGTAATACTTTATATATAGTTTATTTTATTGAATTTTTTTTTCTTTTTAGGGATTTTATAAAAAGTTTAGCTACTTTCAATAAACCTATAGTGGCTGGCGTACAAGGTGCAGCAATTGGACTTGGAGTGACAATGTTGCCTCTTTTTGACCTTGTAATTGCTAGTGATAAAGCAACGTTCTGTACGCCTTACGGGAAATTAGGACAAATTGCTGAAGGTGCTGCAGTCTTTACTCTGTCACACATACTAGGCAGTGCAATTGTAAGTCGTAAGCAACTTTTTATAGCATTTATAACATAACATGAAAATAATAGAAAAGTAACATCTACACATTTCGATAGACAAGTGAACTTCTTTTGGGTGGAAGAACTCTAACAGCAAGTGAAGCATTAAGAGCCGGTCTCGTCACTCGAGTTTTATGGCCTGATCGATTTCAAGTCGAATTATTACCATCGTTAAGAGCTATGAGTGATCAATCATCACAGGTAAGTTACATATGTATAACAATGTTTCTTGATTTTACTTTTATTAATGTTTTTGCAATATATTAGATGTAGTAAAAAGAAATTCATTATTTTTCCAATAGATGGCTTTAGTAATCTGTATCACGCGTAGATGAGATACAGATTACTAAAGCCATCTATTGGAAAAATAATGGATTTCTTTTTACTACACCTAATATGTTACGAGATATATATTGTATTTTACGTACATTTTACGTAATATTACTAAACTTTAAAATTTTTTATATTCATTAAATTATAATAGTTTTATGTATTTAATAACGGTAACAATAAGCCATATAAGCAGGTCCAGAGTAGAGCAGTTCCTGTACATTTACTTGTGTCTTATTTTTAAAAACACATAAATGTTTTTCTGGACAAGTACATCTATAATATGTTGAATATAGATCAGATCGTATGTAGCCGCAAAACTCCAAAGTCTCGCACATTCTTTTCTGCATTAAAAAGTTCAGATTTAATAAACATGTGTGTGATAAATGAAAGAATATTAAATACTACTATCAGAATAAAATAAAATTATAAATCTTGTCTATTCCTGCATGGTTCAAGTATTTTTCTTTTCAGAGAATACAGGAGAGAATTAATGGTTTTATATATTATAAATTATACAACAAAAAGTGTGTATAAATTATGCAGATTTATGAAAATGGAAATACTTGTAATTAACTCGTAAAATGCAGAAACGATTTTCTCTCTGTGCATATTTTATATTACACATATAAAATGTATACCTTGACACATCTGAATATTTGAACAATACCATGCTCTTTGTATGTGTATTTTTGCAACTTCCAGTAATGTGTTTGTGGACATACGCAATTCATTGTCACATTGTACGGTATTATATAATTATTATTCGTATCACCTTCCCCATGTACTATCACTGCCTCTTGTTTATGCGCGCATGTCTCCAATTCCGTGAATTGCGTACAGAACTGTATCAGGAAACGTAACGCCAGAAATGTTTAAAAAAGATTTTTTTTAGATACTTAATCTTTTCGATACCTTCAGAATGGATTTATTATTGAGGAACATGGTTGAGTTATCAAAAGTTTTTGTCCATTGCCACGGACATTCGCTCCCATTGGGACAGTGGCAAAGCCTTTCCGTCAATCTAGACATCCAAAATCGGTCGTGAATTACATTGCATACCTCGTAAGGTTCACAGTCGTGTAAATCGCTTTCTCCTTCAACCTGTTTTGATTCAAGAAATTTGTCGTTTATGCCGTTATTCATTTACAAGAACTATATTTATATAGTATATTTTCGTATACGCACTCCTTTCATATACTTGAACGTAATATTATTAGCTTTACTGCTAATTGTCGTGTATATACTGACACTTGCGCTTATCAGAGAAACGAAAAAACAAGTTTTGATAAACATATTTACAATCGTGTGCATACTTGACTGCGCTAAATCCGATTGTCATAAGCAAGATTATATTAACGCAAATGGCAGCTAGTATATTCTTGATTCTATGTGTGACCACCCACATGACTCGTAATTACGAAATATTTTAATATTCATTGTCTTCGCGTCATTTGTAAGATACAGAAATATGAAGATATGATAAATCAAAATGTTGATAATAAAAACTATGTTTTCTGCAATATTGCACATATTTTAATAAATTTGATAAACACAGATTTAACAAAGAAAATAAAAGAAAGTATTTGTATAGGATATTGTAAAATAAGAGAATCGTTTCTGCATATGTATACAATTATAATTTTTTAAGTCACTAATCATTTTTTTAAATAAAAAAAAATCTATTTTTTTTTAGTCCATGGAGGCAACAAAGGCTCTGCTACGTCACAGTCTACGAAAAAAATTAGATGCCGCACTTGAATCAGAAACATACTTATTAATTCAACATTGGTGTTCCATAGAATGCCAGACTGCTATAAAGGCTTACATTGATGGAAAAATTGAATAAATGACAGTAAGCCATTCTTATACATGGTAAAATATCATAATTTATATACATATATATACACACACATTATAATTTATTATAATGAATTACTTATTGTGAAAATATTAATTTCAGTGTACTACTGTTTAATTGTGGTTTTGCAATCCGTGTTAAAAGTCAGAAGTGATAGGTTCATGAATATCGATGGAGATAATAACACAAAAATCGACATATAAAATCGATGTCATATAAACAATTTTTGATGCGACATTCTACGTCAATGCACTGTATAAGATATAATTTAGATATAAGATATAAATATTGAGAATCACTCAAAAAGATGGACTATTTTATTATTAGATCATTTAGATATAAATTTATTATTCATAAATATATATGTATATATATTTACATATATATGTATATGTATGTGTGTGTGTATGTGATATATATGCATATATTCTTCTGCATTATATTATTGTTAGATTAAAATAAAGGTACATTCATTGTAAGAATCAAATTAAATTTCTGATATATTGTTTTATCGAATTCATTGGCTTGTATGAATTTATGTGTTTTTGTGAAGACTTATGCGACTGTTTAAAAAGAAGTTCGAAAATTGCATATAAACAAACTTCACAATTCAAATAGCCAATGGATCTATTTTCTTCCTTGTAGAACAACATTTGTGCATGAAATTTTTAAGTGTGTAAAATTGACAAGTATTTATTATTTATTCGGAGGAAATGGCAGCACTGGAAACGCCATGTACTTATGAGTTTTCCAAAGGCTGTGGCACCGGTGTGGCAGAAGCGCTTGGAAACTGGGGCTTTTCTAACAGAACATGTAGCGCCGGCCAAGAGTTACAACGTTTAAAGTGTCTCTTTGCAAAAATGGATTCTTTGTGAGGAAAACATGCATTTTATTTAAAAAATGACAAAGGCTTAAATTGATGAATTGCTGGTCTTAAGGAAAAATTCGACTAGGACTGTACAAAAATAAAAGAAACACCTTGATTAATTTCAGACGCAGCGATAAACCGGTGATGTGTGTTAAATACGATCGTAGATATGATCCTGAAGCATGGTATGTTAAGCCTAGTCCCAGTGAATGTAAACCAGCCTGGACATTTCCTACAAAGAGGCCTCTGGTTACTTACTGTTCGACTGCTGTAATTTTGAAAGCTTCCAATATGCTTGAGGTCGGATCGGACTTAACGTTTCCCTCTCCTGGCCGCAGCTATGTTCGACAGGGTGTATGTATACACTCTTTTAATGAGTTTAATCATTTAAAGCGAACTAGCAGAATTTTTATTACAGATCAATATATTATCACATAAATTTTGGATATATATTGTACTTTACAGTAGATACGCCATATAATTATATAATTTACTTTTAGACATCTAAATGGTATCGTCGAGGTCCAGAGTGTTGTTATCAACCTAGTTGTCTAGCCCCGCAATGTCCTGTACGATACTCTTGTGAAAGCTAACTTTTAAAATTTGTAATCGTATAATGGTTTGTAATCGTACTTAATGGCAATGATAACGTCAAACTAAATATTTATTTCTGATTTTTTTCTAGTAATAAAATGTAATATTTGCACAATATATATACATATATATACACATTAAATTCTGAAATATGTAATTAAAAAAAAAATCGCGGTGGAGGAATCAAGGTATAAGGACAAGTAACGATATAATTGAGTTAACAAAAATTATATCTGAGAGCAATGAAGTCGTTTAATTTTTTTCTTTTACTTTAACAAACACAGTGTTCCGAGCTTTTGCGCGTTGCGTGAGAACAATTACATTATCGAATGGTGAGGCAAGTGATTTAACTGACCGTCACTGCAATATTTTCACTCTTTGAGCTGATATATATTGATGAATGGAGTATCTCTAGATACTAGCTAGCGTTACAACAATGTACACTAATTCGAATTCCTTAAATAGAAATCGATCTACACAAGTAGCATTTTGTAAGACCCTACATAAGGAGCTCTGTGCTGACTTTGCGATGACTCTGCATAAAAGCTTACCCTCGGGATTCTTATGTACAAGAAAAAATATACAAAAAATTGAATTGAGTCATGGTACAATATAAATATGAAAACTGTCCGAAAACGACGTACGATTTACGCGAGTCAATAATATATGTTATACGAGTTATTAAAAATATATACTTATGATATCTTAAGCAAGTAATATACATATCGTAATGTATAAATTAAGACTAGATAGAATATCGGAGACCTTATCTACTTCTACAGCCAATATAATAATCGAGTGTGTGACTGAAGTATAACTTATAAACTAATTACGCAATAACATGCGGCACAATAACGGCTGAAAGCGTACTGGCAAGAAGAAGAGAGCACATGGTATTTTGTTGACATTTCATTTTTTTCCATATATTTTGCCTTAAGTTGGGCATAACACTGAAACCGGAATAGTAATTTTGTAAATACTTTTCAAAAATGTTTATCGATCATGATTTATAACGTTCAAGTTGAAAAATTGTTAATATTTGCAATAGGATTTAGTAAACTGAATTGAAAATCTAATTACCTTTGAGTATATAATCTGTTAGTAAAGTGGGTACTGTCGGGCTATCCTCGCTAATGGCCTTTAATACTGCAAATGAACATATACATTGATATGTGTAGTTAGATACAAAATTCTAATTAAATACTTACTTTTAATAAGTACTTGCAAGGCTTGATTGTCTGGCGGACCACTATCTGTATGATATGGAATAACGGTCGTCAGGTACTATAAAAATGAAAATTTCCATTTTCTCTAAATTGTACAATTAAATTACTGAAAACTTTTTAAATTAAAGATTTAATTTTCTGTAAAAGAATATTCGTAATTTAACGGTTAATAAATGAATGCGTAAAATGTTTACTATGTAAGTGCAATTCTATATAGTGGTATACCTTCGGCTCCTGCAAAGACCTATGTTGTGGTAACGGACTAGTACCATTCTGCATTTGATTTCTTTTCTTTGTAACATGATGCTGCCTACGTCGATTTTGCACAGCTAACAGTAAAGAGATAAACTGGTTTTTGAGTTCCTTTTCATATTCTAATTCGTCTCGAAGCGCAAGCTCAGCGATCAGTGTTTCGCTCAAAGCCGCAACCAAGGATTCCATTTCTCCAAGAAGTTCAGTCAGTTGGCTGGAGGAAAGTTGCTTTAATTCTAAAAATACATTCAACATTTTATAATGTTTTTATTTTAAAAATTAATTGATGATTTCTATATCATTATATTTAACATGAATACTTTTATGTCATATAATTATTATTTAAAAACATACTTTTTTCATGAAGTGGTGATCCAAGTACTTCTCTACTTCTTTCCAAAGCCTCATCGCTGTCCAATAAAGAACCCTCTGAATCCGGCGATCTTTCCATTGACGGACTTTCCTACAACGGCAGCGACAAAATGCAAATAATTAATCACTCGTTTAGTTATTATTATATCGGCAAAAATATTTGATTACGCCAAGATTATACCTGCATTATGTCATCTATCTCGCGAAGAACTTCCTCTGCAGTCTTCAGCGGCTCTTCCGGACTGTGAGTATCGGTACTGCTGGATAAGATTAAAGCATGCATGTCCAAATCTGTGGCAACTGCCTCGTCTTCGCTACTTAAATCTTCTAGTTCGGGTCTATAGAGAACAAAAAACGAAAATATTGAAACGAAAGTATGAATTTACGAACATTAGAGCCGATGTGAGGAAACGAGAGGAGGCGAAATCAGAAAATTTGTTTTTAAAAATGTGTATAATCGCTACAAAGTAAACTTTCCACGAATAATTATACTTGTGACAAATAATCAAATGTGCAAAAAACAAACATATCTACCTTTCTGTCGAAGTAGGTGCTTCGTTCAAATTCAAAGCGGGCATATGCATTTTCCGCGCGTAGGATTTGCTCCAGTCGATGGGTAATATATTCCCGAAAGTTCCGGTAATCGTCCACCACATCCTGTAAAAAATACAATGTTGAACATATACTGTTATTAACATGCAAGGAATCTCTTGGCGTTTTCTAAGGGTAATTGTTCGCTTGATCTTAGCAATCGCTTACATTAAAAGCTTATATCATTTAATATACGTAAATAGATGTGGAATCTTCAGATGATTCATATCCTCTAATTCACAGTATTCTCTAGTCGAGGAAATTAATGTACTTTAAATGTACCTAATGTGTCATCGACTTTTATCGCTCATCTGCTGAATGTTTCATTCAGAATTACCGCATCTTCTCTGTTTTATTTTAATTTTAATTTGAAAAATTCTGAAGCATGTAGTTGATTTTTTGTAACAAGTCTATAATTTTCTTGAATGTATAAGAGGGAATTGTTTTATAGCTTTAACTTTAAAATGACATAAATAATCAAAAATACATAATGGTGTTAATTATTTTATTAATACCAAAATAACGATATTATTTCAGAACACTTTTTTAAATCTTTATTTTATTTTATTTTTTTTCCTTTCACAATTTTTTATTCTGATAGATAAATATTTTTTGCTGCTTTTGTGTAAATAGAGCGGACTAAATTGAGTTGAAAAGTCTTCCATCATTTTACAATTTTCGTAATAGTTAACAAGATATTAATTACTAAAAATCGTTGAATTACTAATAATCGTTGAATAATTAGTTTTCAATAATTTTTTACTCAAATACTATCAACTTTACAGAAAAAGAGTAAGAAATAAAAATTGTTTATTTTCTTCTTATAAAATTCTAAAAATTTTTTCAGAATCTTTAAATACCGCATTCTCTCATGTTGGTAAAAATAGTTGCCAATAAGAAAATATAATACTAAAAAATTGATAAAAAATTCTTAAAGCTCTATGAGAAGAAAATAAACAATTTTTATCTCTTGCTGTTTTTCTGTAAAGTTGAGTAAATAGTATTTGAGTAAAAAATTATTGAAGACCAATATTCGGCAATTTTTAATTAATCTCATTAACTATTGTGAAAATTATAAAATAGAGGATTTTTCGACTCAGTTTAGTCTCTTCTATCAAAAGCGCTTAGCAAAAAGTTGCGGGACTGCCTGTAAATTGTATTTTCTAATTTCTCTCTTTTTCTCTTTTTTTTTGCATATATACAATGGATAAAGAAAATGTTTGCTCACAGAGATGTCATAACAGTTTCCGGCATCTATCTAAAGGTTAATGAGAACGTATGATAGAAATGTCGCGTAATTTTAGCGTGAAGGACATGATTTACGAGATATTACAAGAACATGACGTGTAATGCGCGATCAATAAATGCAGATGTTCCAATGAGGATGATATAATGCCACGATATTATCTATTGAGTCGTGCCAATGTTATTCTACAATGTAGAAACACGCATTTGGAACGTTCTATATATAGTTGTCGTCAGAGACAGGTTTTTCATTCAGGAGGAGTCTTCGTCTTTTTAATATCGCGCCTGTTTATATCATTAATACAATATCCGTGTGAGCATTTCCATTAGGACACATTTGAGACACCCTCTATGATGATGAGAGCGACAGACTTTCTAGGACGCCGCGTGAATCATTGCAGGCTGTGGGCGTTTCCTGCGTTACGCATTGTACGTGTACGCACTGCATAGATAAGACATTTAATCAAGTGCAAACAAAACGTAAGTCAATGACGTTACGGCGATAATACATATTGTTTTCTAAAGGAAGTAATTTTTCATGCGAAGAACGACCAGAGCGAAGAATCCTCGCGGCGCGAATTTGCGAACAATGTATCTGGGAGCCGAGCAGCAAAAACGACATTCAGAGACCTGTAATATCCTCAGGAACTGAAATATCAATCGATCATTAACTTCCTTTATTGCTTCGCCTTCAAATGTCTCTCGCAGTCGATGGGCGATAGAAACCATGTATTTTAAAAATCGTCTAAAGCTCTGTCTCTTTCTTAAAATATTTCTCAGTTTCGCTAAATATTCGCGTTTTATGAATCTTCCTTGTATTTTTTCCAAATGTTAAATGGACAGTCGACAGAAAGATTACAATTTCTTATTTTTCTATTAACTAATATTTCTCAGAAAGTTCAAATCAGTTTTTACTTACATATGAATTCTTTAGATTCAAATGTAAAATATATAAATTAAAAACTTTTAATTTTTGTTTAAAAAAATGGTATAAAGAAATATTTTAAGCAAGTAAAGTCATTAAAATCTATATTTATATTGGGAATATTAGATATTTCGGCGTTTATTTTGTTTAAAATTCGCATGTGTCTGTATGTATGTACTTATTATGTATAGAAAAAGAAAAACGGCAGCAACGGATATCAAAGAGTCAACGCATTGATCGACCATTTGATGCCGTGGGTTAATAAATCGAGGTCAACTCAGTCTACTTGAGTCCCTGATTAATGTAAAGTGGCTTTATCTCCAGTGTACACGTTGTTCATATCGAAAAGGCCAGACATTTTTATACCGGTACATACGAAGTACGAGCTAATTTTTAATCTCTGAACACAAAAAACAGTGAAGAAAGGATAAAAGAAAGCTGAGTGATGTAAAATTAGCTTAATCTCGAAAAATGGGGATTTCGCAATTTTGCACAAATAGCTCTTATCAGTTCTTCTAAATTCACTTGCTTCCTACAAAATCACGAGAGAGAGAGAGAGAGAGAGAGAATATTTAAAAAATTATAGTAAATGTGATCGCTGCTATCTGAAGCGCGTGCGCGCCGATATTGACGTTCGCCCTCTGTTTGGAGGGTGGTATAGCTCAATACGAACGAAGGAGCAAAACAGAGATTAAATTTTCATGTCATGCGTTTTCGTTAATATCAAAACACTTATGAAATATAATGATCAG